CAGTTGCGAGATTGGATCAGTGGTTCCTTCCATCCTTCGCAAAACTGAAGGATGGAAAACTGGCTCCTGGAACTCTCTCCTGCCAGATTCACGCTCTTAAGAGCTACCTAAAATTCGTACTGTGCAGGAGGGAGGTAACCTTGAGAACTGCCGGCGTTACCTCGGCGGCGGTTAGCAACCTACTGACCGCCACCGAGGAATGGACTAAAAGTGTGGCGGGATGGCGCTCCTCCCGTAGGGTAGAAATTAAGGAGAGGCAGCTGGGTATGTACACGTTTACATTGTATGAGATCAGTGAAAAACCTAGATAGTTTCCACCTGTCTAAATCATTCTCTGCATAAAGATATTGAAATGCGAGGGTTAAAACTATACATTTTCGTAAATCCGGATGTCTGCAGTTTTCATTCATAGGCAAATATGTCACCAGTTATAATTTCTACCCCCCTGTTAGGAATGTCATCTTTCACAGCTGTTAAAGTCGTTCAGTGATATGGCTGATGAGGGAGAATAACAGGTTCTATTTATTCTGAAACAAGTTATTTTTGCATTACAGAGAACTTTATCCCTGCTGAAAAAGTCAAATCAATTTTATCTTCATCGCAAATCAAACTCCTGGAACGAGACCTCTGGAATGAGAGGAAAGAAGAAATATATCCTGCTGTCCGATCAATGATACTCTTCCGGGTTCTCGTCGCCAATGGACAACGGTACATTGATATATGTCAATGAAATATCATAAGTAGGAATAACTTCTTTATCTTTGTAAAATAGATAAAAGTTAATATGTATCACTGCATGCGCATGTGGGAGATCAGTATCGCAGGAGGCGACTAATGATTTAACCCACTGCAGAATTGGGGATTTGCTTTGGAAACAAAAGCGACCAAAATATTTGGGATCTTTATCTTTCTTTCTACTTCTAACTACTTTTTCCTACCTAGCGCCTTGCTTGGACACATTTTACCTTTTGCTTGAATGTTGAGCGTTCGCCCAGGTGAGGGCGGCAATGGATTCTGTCCCCAGGCCTGGACATAACAAAAGTCCTTAAAAATGGTAGTTGTTATTCCATGCTTAATGTTCAGGATTTAGGAGAATGGCAACAACTTGTCCACCCGTTATCAGTATAATGTGACCGTGCGGAATGCTGTGCTGGATGCCTTAGACATTAGGTATTTTTCTGGGATAGCACTATGAAGTCGGCATCAGATCCGCGCTATCACCATGAGTCAAGCACGCCAATATACCCTCTGTCTCCTGCATACTCACACGCAAGTACGCTTCCACTACACACGTTGAGACACGTCCTTAAATTCATTATATGCAATATAGCACATTACACGTCATAATACCTCTAGGTGGAGTGATAAAGAAATAAAGGTTACTCACATGATGCCTTTGTTTTGGAATAAACGCGTCAAATTGAACATGAATTTTTTTATTACTGAAGATATCTTGGCTATCTTTACCTGGAAATGTTCAGTTGTTGATAATAAAAAGAGAAAGCCCCACTACAGGTGTACATGTTGAGTATTAAAGAAGAAAGAACATCCCGTGTGATGTCCAAATTTGGCCAAAAAATGCGTTAAAAGTTATAAATGTGCAATTCTTATCTGCTTTTAAGAAAATGGCAATTTCTGGGAAAAGGCAAAAAAAGTTGCTTCTGCTGAATGCCTGGGCCAAAAAACAGGAGGATCCTTCCGGGTTTTCAGTTTACTATATTAACCCGTGCAAAGGTAATTTCTTACTATTTGATTATCAAAGGTGGTTTTTTTTGTGTATATTTTTAATTCTTGAATCTTTCCTTTCATAATTATTCCATGCAATTGCAGGCAAAGGTGTTTTCGCTGAGAAACCCTTCTTGAGAGTTGATTTTCTTTTCATCTACAAAGGGAAGTTATGCCATGTAGATCCAGGGTATGGAGCTTACGTCATGGAATTTTCCATTGTAAATAAAAGATATTGGTAAGTTTGGTAAAATGTATATATTCAATAAAAAATTTTTTTAGATAAAAACATGTCTTGTACTTTTTACAGGTTTATTTTAAAATTTTGACATCAAATGAGGGGCTATTACCTAGAGTAAGGCCTTGCCTACGTTATAAACTATTGAACATTTCTAGGTAAAGATATAAATAAAAAAACATGTCTCTTCGTTACGAAAAGATTCATTAGTGTTAAAAGGGATAACTCAGATTCATTTTTTCCGGTTTATTTTTCGATCTTAATGTCGCTTGTGTTTCATTATAAATACTTTTTATATCTCATTTACAGAAATTTGACAGGAGGAAAAATAGAGGATAGGGAAGAGGAGGAGACAAAGGAAATGGAGAAGAGAAAAGGGTGAGATTCACTAAAACTTTCTTTTAGCCATCAGTGATAAAAACTGTTTTATCACCTTTTCTTCATAAACCACCTCAACAACAGTCGAAATTGCATTAACTTTAATAAGTGTTAACTTGAAATTTGTTTCTTTTCTAAAGTACACTTTCTGTTTAGATATAGAATCATGTGAAACAAAAACATGTATTGACACCCAATGATCTGCCCACTGTACCATATACATGTATTGACACCTAATGATCTGCCCACTGTACCCTATATATGTATCGACACCCACTGATCTACCCACTGTACCCTGTACATTTATTGCCACATGTCCTACATCAATCTTAATCTAACATTTCAGAGACATCTATGATTTTACCGATGATGACGTTGAGGAAGAGTATGGTAAGTGTGTGTTATTTTGCCTGTTAATCAAATATAATGTCATCCTGGGTACGAAACATTTATTCAAATTCTTTTATAATCAGAAATATCCTTTTTTAGGATATTTCAAGGGAATAAATAGAAACTAAACGTATATATAAAAAAAAAAACGTTGTATCATAAATAATTCCCATCGCATAGTTACTTTGATCTGGATTCCTTTCTTTTATTTATCATTGTCATTATATTTCTAAAAACCGAAGTGGAAGAGGATGGAAATATATACAAGAGGCCCATGGGCCTTAATGGTCACCTGAGTCTTGCAGTATTTATTTTTGTTGTTGAAATATGTACCAATTTGAGTAAAAAATAGTATAATGTTAACTTAACTTTGTCAGGACCATGAGCTGATCATTCCTAGACCGATTTTAAGTGAGATCGGCCTTTTAGAACTTGTTTTTAAGTTTGAAATAGGTATTTACAAAATAGCGGCCATGGCAGCCAAATTGTATTTCTGATTGACCCGAAAAATAACAACACTTTGTCAGGACCATGATTCGATCATTCCTACAAAGTTTCAGTTCAATCGGCCAAGTAGAACTTTACTTTAAGTTTGAAATAGTTTTTCAAAATGGC